TTATAAATAAGAAAATCAAGAAAAAAGATAAAATATTTAAATTTTAATTATATTTATCAAATAATTTTTATTTAATTTTTAAAAAGTAGTTATATTATATATATTTGATTTGGGGGTGGGACATGACCCCTTCCCTCCGCCTCTGCATATGATCTTCCCAAGTAATAAACTGTTTTAATGTAATTTGTAACAAATATAAAAGGGAAAATAAATTACATACCAATCTTTTAAAATGCTCTGGTGTAAGGATTAAATCATCAATATGCAATGAACCATTTATTAGTTTTTCTCTATCTTTCCCAACTTTTCTCATTTCATATGTAATTGCTATCTCATTCCAATAAGAATCTAATTTCTACATCAATTTGTTAGAACGAGACAACAAGATTATCTCAAGTCTTACAGTAAAATTACTCAGCATAATAAATAATATTAAATTTTAATGTATTTGTGTCTCAAGAAATAAATAAAAATATATAAATAATAGGTCACTTTGGGTTTAACAAACCAATTAGTCATTTAAGTTCATCAAACTAGTCTATTACAACACATCATCTAATATCCATGTCATCCAAAAGATGTTCTATAAATAACATAAAATTTATAAATAAAGTTTAGAATTTACGATTCAGGTTACCTAGTAACCCATCAAATTAACAATCATTGACTCGCTCTGTACAAATAATCACACCATCTTATTTTTAACTAATTATTTTATCTAACGAAGGTACATTTTGGAAAAAATAAAATAAAAACCCATGCAACGCTTTTTATTTTTTATTTAGGACTTTTAGTTGGAAACTACAGGATATATTATTATATTCCTCACAAGAATATTGTATTATAAACGATAATAATAGCAGTTAAATATTTCTCTTAGTTTTCTTTTGTCATTTTTCAAAGTCGAGGAAAGGATAATGATGTCGACGTGATGATTTTTTTAATTCCTCTTCCTCAATAATCTAATAAATGTGATTATTATTTTTATTATTATAATCACGTAATCATCCTCGGTTTGGTTGTTAAACTAGAAAGCTAATAATTGAGAAGAGTAAATTAGATAAACTTGATGTTAATTATTTTTAATTATGCTTGTCTTTCGGTCTACCCACCCATCAAACATTTACACATGTGGTCAAATGAAAAAGTGGAAGAACTATCCCAATAATTTGAAATTGAACATTTTTTTAAAATAATGCTTCAAAAATTATAATGATTAAATAAATAATATTGTTTTGATATAATTATGATTTTCTCATTATTTAAAAATTAAAATTAAAATATACATTTTTCTCTTAACTTATTAAATTAATATATATTTTAAGAATAAAATTGTGAAATTTAAATTTAAATTTAGACAATATCTTAAATATAATAATTAATTCTAAAAATATTATTATAACGAATATAAAATTAAAAAATTCTCCTTTTTAAATATAATATTAACGTAATAAAATCTCACTTCAACATCCATATATTGTTAGACGCACAATAATTAAATAAAAAATTATATAACAAAACAAAACTTCTTATACAAGAAAATAAAAAAATAAAATTTATCTTTATATAAAAAAATAATAAACTAGTTTATTAATGAGAGCCATCGTCTGCCTATAAATATATTCCTCAAATCTTATCATATCTAAGTCACATGTAATGATGAGTTAAGAAGAAGCTGGATCCGTTTTCTATTTGACATATATTTTTATTGCTTATTTAAATAAAAGCATATAAAAACTACCAAGGTATGAGCTGTGTAACTCAGCATTCAATTAACAAAACCTGTGACCAAGATATACCCCTGAATGTTATGAATTGTTTAATGATTTTAAAGTTATTTATTTTCTAATATATCATAAATAGGATGTTATAGTTAAAAATAAAAATTATAAAATATGTTTTATGCTTTTAGGAATTACTGATTGTAATATATTAAATTTACATTAACATTTAAAATTATGATAATTATTTTCTTTTTATTTACGTAATTTTAAATAACTGAAAATATACAAAAGATTAAAATAATAATAATAATAATAATAATAATATTTACAGGAATTTAAGTCAATTATTTTGTATTAGTTTTAAATTAGGTAAGATAGAAAAATAAAAGAGTATAATTAGTTATATTACGTATAATGTTAATATATTATAACTATACATTTAAAAAATGCAAAACATATTTTATTATTTTTGTTTTTAAACATAAAGTTATTGTTTATGATATATGAAAAAATTTTATTTTATGATGATTGGATATTATAATATTAAAATTAATGTATAGAAAACAATTTATAAACTTTAAGTAAAGTATAATATTTTAAATAAAATTATATATTCAGGATAAATTATTTAATGAAAAAAAATCATATATAGTTCTCTATTTATAATCAATATAAATTATATCACTTTAGTGAAATAGTATGGATAAGAAAATATAATTATCTTAATTTAAAATATGTTCTGTTACGTTAATTATATTTATTAATATGTACTTATTCTTTTTTATTTTTAATATTAAAGAAAAAGTATGTAAAAGTATTAAAAATTTATAATTAACAAATATTTGGTCAAAAACTAAAACTAATGACAAATATTAATCAATAAGTTTAGAAATCAAATAACATATTATTGATAAATAATAAATAAATATAAAAAAATTAAAATTAAAATTATAATATAAAAAATGTATTAAATAATTATTAAAATTTGAACCAAAATCATAAATATAAATATAATTATATATAAAAATTAAACATATATTTATATTAGAAAAAAATTGGTAGATATTTACCATGTGATATATATGTGTTTACATGTAACTACTCTCATAGCCAACCCAAAAATAAATGTTAAATAAATTACTATTTAACAAAAAAAAATTGCAAAGAGAAAATGATTTATTAAAGGAGACTGCATGTGAATGGATAGTAATGAATAGTCAATCAGAATTAATTTTTGAAGAAAGTAAAAGAATATATATATATATATATATATATATATATATATATATATATACATAGTTATTGTATATTTAATGATAGTTTAGTCTTTAAATTTTACAATTTATATTAAATTAACTTTTAAATAATATAATTTAAAATTTAATTGATCCTTAACTTTTTCGAACGTGGTTATGGATTTTTTTTTTACATATTTAAAAAGTAAATAAAAATTATCATTATGAAAGCTAATGTGCAGGAATGTGGGAGGAAGTTAGGTAGACAGCGCAGCCTCATTATTTGCAGTTGAATACACGACAAAATTTAATTAATTCAACCACCACTCTTTCAAAACCATTTACTTTCTTTGGTGAAAACACGTTTGAAATTAAAATTACACAGGAGATAAAAGAAATTATGCGAGTCTTTAATATTATTTTTAGCTGATAAAATAATATATTATTAATAAATATTAAATGATAATATACTATTAAAAAATAATGAATAAATATAAAAAAAATAATTGGTTAAATTTGTAAATATATAAATAAATATATTTAATAATTATTAAATTTTGAAAACTAAAATCATAAATATTAATATAAATTATAAAATATTAAAAATAATTATTAAATTTAAGATAAAAATCATAATACAGTAAATTGAAAATTTTGAGTGTATGATACCTCTCATCTTCAAAAACATCTGCATAAAATTTTATACAGGATAAATGTGTGTTTTTGGTACATGTGATGTCATGTTTTTGTTTTACCTCCATTTTTTTTTTTTTATGTTTAGTCTTTTTCGACATTTTAAAAAAGTTGTTTTAATTAGTTCATGCCATTGACTCCTGTTTAAAAAAATTACTGATGATCATCTATGAAATTTAAAATAAAAACATCACATTAATAATTGTTAAAACCAAATAGTTATCCACTTTACTTATTAATTTAAATTATGATGATTATTTAGAAGTATCTTATCCCGAGTGTTTTATGTTATATGTTGATTGTGACAAGAAAAAATGTTTAGTGAAACCTAGGCATGTGAATATTTAATATAATTATATTATTGTCTTTAATTATATTTATTAACGTGAGTAATAATGGATGGGACATCTTTATTTTCTGGTATATATATTCATTATTGTTGAGTATTTGAAAGAAAGAAAAAAAGACAATAATTAAAATATTTTTACACAAATAAAAGTCAAGATAATAATCACAGGAGGGATTGTAGTCTTTATACATTAGAATATTTTTACGATATGTTAACTATGAAAGATTTTCAGAGGAGGCAAAGAAAATATCGAAAAATTCAATTCAGAACTTTAAGATTATTTTACTCAATTCTTCAACATATATTTAAATTCTAATAATTATTATATCTATATAGTCAATTATATAATTTAAGATATTTTATTTTTTAGATTTTCATTATTATTCGTAATATATAATATAATATTTAGATTATTAAAGTTTAAAACATAAGAAACAATTCAAAAATATATAAAAGAATATACCATTTCTTCAATATAAGCTTTTAAGATAATAAGTATATAATATGTATCAAAACAAAATTTTGATTAAAAATAAAAATCACATAAAAAAGAAAGAAAGTAGAAAGTAAAATTATTAACATGCAATTGAAAAAGAAAAAACTATTTTAACTTGATTTGAAGTCTTCTCTCATCTCTCATTTCTTGTCATCTAAACCAACTCATTTCAGCTCAAACATATTCTATTCTATCCCTCTTTCCCTGTTTAATGATATTTATTTAATTTAAAATAATAGTAAGTGATTATTTTATTTAAAAAATCAAACAAATAAATCCAATATTATATATATATATATATATATATATATATATATATTTTATATAATAATAGTGAGTTTAATAAAACATTGTTTCACGTAATACGCAAAAACCTAGAAGATCATGCTACGTCATAGGCTTTACGTCAACTTTCACATTATGTCAAATATATTATTATTTTAATGATGGGTTGCATTCACACGTTGAGGAAGAGAAAGTGAATCCTCAAAATGGCGTTATAAATGAACTTTGAGATTGCATTTAGACACACACCACATTTCCTACCTCACCCTTCACATTTTCCACCACTTTGCCACGACTTTTCCACTAAAATGACTTCTGAGACGCCGACCGTACCGCTCAAAGAGGAAGAGGTTCACCGGCAGGTTTTGATGCAGTTCATGACCAACAAAGAAGGTTCAAATTTAACACCTTTACATACCCTTTTCTTTCACACACTTCATAGTCTTTGCTTTCTTCATTAACTACCTTTCACACTAAACTTCTGCCTTTTCATTCGTGTTGTTGTTGCTGCTGTTGTTTTATGTTGTGGCTGTTTCTGAAAGTGTTTATCTAGACATAAAAATGGAAACTTTATGATTTTATTTTAAATTTCACAATAATCAACATTTCTTTTCGGTTTTTAAATACAATGTTATTGATTTACAAAAGAGGGCTACTCGGAATTTTCAAATACTGTTACTTTCAGTTGTTCTTGCTGCTGCTGCTGCAGCCACCATAAGCGGAACGGTGACTGCAGAAAGTGGGGAAAATGATGCAAAAGAAAAAGGTGAAGTTGAGGAAGAATATGATGAAAATGGAAAAGATGAAGTTGAGAAAGAAGATGTTGAAAGGCGAATATATGAAGTTGAGAAAGAAAATGGTGATACTGTGAAGCTATATTTCAACCCTTCTGATGCTATTCTGCGGGTCAGAAATGGACCAGCAATAGGCATAGCCATGTTACCTACTGAAGAAGAGGTTGAAGTATATTTTAAAAGAATGTTCAACTTGCCACCAAACCATGAATTTTATTGCCCCCGTTGTAAGGCTTGCATCGACAAGGTCTTGTTTTGCCCTACACGACCAGAGCCTGTACCTTCAGTTCCAGTGCCTCCAGTTTCAGTGCCTCCGGTAACAGTGCCTCCGGTAACAGTGCCTTCAGTTCAAGTGCCTCCGGTAACAGTGCCTCCAGTTTCAGTGCCTCCGGCAACAGTGCCTCCAGTGTCAGTGCCTCAAGTAACAGCGCCTCCAGTGCCTCCAGTTCGAGGGCCCGAAGATGAGGTTGAATGTTTTGTAAGATGCTCAACATGCTTCAGTTTACTCATTCAAAAAGGTATATCTTGTTTTGTTTTCTGGATGATGATCTGTGATGGCTGTGTCTATTATACTTTAACATCTTATTTAGATATTACAAACAAAAAAATTGTAATTAAAAGATTATACCAGCAAACACAATATGTATAATTAAAGGTTTTTTTCAATTAGGGAAATGGATTTGTTTTAAATAAATTACAAAATTATGGACTAGTGGTGTTATAAAAATGAGCAAAGATAATGTACTCTTATCAAACATCTATGTAATAATTATTTTTAAATTTTTATATTATTTATTTATATATTTATTTTATTCTCTTTTCATCGATAAAAAAATTATTTTAAGATTTTTTTAGATGTTTGAAAAATATTAATTATCAAAAAATTATTTTTCTATAAAAATAATTCTGTGGTTCATATGGAAGATATTAGTATTAGTTATGAGAGTTGGAAAGTATTTGTAAGGAATCATTATCGTATTGTACGAAAGAAAATCATTAATACAACAACCAAAAAGCAAAGAAACTGGTTGTCATTGACTTCCAAGTCTTGGAGACATTATCTTGTTCACAGCAATTAAACGACTATTATTATTAATACTTTTTTTATTAATAATATGACATATCATATTATTGATAATTTATTAACTTATTTATTAATTTTTAGTGTAGATTCATAACATTTATATTAGTAATTTTATCTATAGTTTTTCTTTATTTTCATTTTGAGAATTTTGGGTTAACATTTTAATTTTCTTGTAAAAATTTATAGAAAACTTAATTCTTGTAAATTTTATAAAAATTTGTAAAAATATTTATATAAAACATGAGAATATCTAAGTAGTAGTTGAATATATTTGAAGTCATTAATGAGATCCGTGAACATAAATAATTGGGTTGTTGAAAGCACGTGAAAACACATAGAATAATAATAGAAAGTGGAGTGCATGTTGTAGCATTTTGAATAGTTCACAGTGCTTAATTCATATAAAATAGAATACTATCAAAGACTTTGACTTTTTCTTCTTTGTATTTTAACAGGCAAAGACTTTATAACTGGGTTGGTAACACCACAACGTCCTCATGGTAATGTATATCCTCAACTTGCTTCTTTTGTTGGTGCTGTTGTATTTATCAGACCCTCATAATCACACTGTACAATTTTTGTACTTATTTAAGTTAAGGTGATAACCTATTTTAATGTAAATTAACTAGTTGAGCAATTGGACACAATTATTGAGTTCTTAATGATTAGAATAACAAATTAGTGTATTAATTATGGTATTATTTATTTATGTTGAACAGTATCCCTTGATGTAGAAGATGACCCTAACACACTACTACCAATCATCCCAAGAACAGAGAGTAGTAAGGGTTGGGAAATTCTTAAAAGCATTGTATATGGTGGTCTTGCTGAATTACTTGCAAGCCTCAGTGTTGTGACTTCTGCAGCAAGCGCTGATGCTACCACATGTACGTAATCAACTTCAATTTCTCATACTTTTGCATTTTAAGTTATCATTCCACAACACTCTATATGCTGAAATTGTGTGTGCAGTGAGTATTGTTGTTCTGAGCATTGCAAATCTGATCGGTGGACTTGTAGTCTTGACTCATAATGTAAGTTTTTGTTCAAATCATGCTTCATGCTTCCCCTCCCTTTTCTTGTTCTTTGTTCCATTAATCATTATTTCTTTGGAATGATCCTTTACAATGCTTACAGCTGAGGGACTTGAAAGCTTCAAAACCAGGAGAAGCAAGAGAAGAAGAAGGAAGTGAAAGAGAGGCAGAAGCAGATAAATATACTGAACTGTTGGGAAAGAGGGAGAATTTCTATCTACATGCCTTTTTTGCGTTCCTATCATTCCTTATATTTGGGTTAGTGCCCCCAGTAGTGTATGGCTTCTCATTTGGTGAGAGTGGTGATAAGGATCTGAAGCTTGCAGCAGTTGCAGGAGCTTCTCTAATTTGTATCACACTGCTTGCCATTGCCAAAGATCAGTCCCAAAGACCCAATAACACTTTCATCACATTTTTCAAAACTGTCACATTCTATGTTACCTCAGGAGTATTGGCCTCGCTGCTTACTTATGTAGCTGGAGCTCAGATCAACAAACTCATTCAACACCTTGGATGGTTTCAACCAAATCCTGAATCCAACTTTTCTTTGTCTCTTCCTCATCATTTGGGTGTACCACACAAATCTGGATGGGGTTCCTACTAAGAACACAATTGTTACAATGGGGTCTTTGTTTTTCAAACGTTTGGTTAGTTCGCCCATTTTCATTGTTTCATTGTACTGTGCAAGTTTGGTGCCAATTTCACAACTTTTGTTATGATTAGTTAACAAGATTCAGTAACTTTTCAATCTAATGCAAGCTTATTCGCATGTTAGATCATCAAACTCATTAAAATAAGATTAATATTAATTTAGGCTAAATTACAATTTCCCCTTCTTTAATTACTAATATATGATTTTGGTTATATTTTCTGTATTTTAGAAAAAAAACTGTATTTGTTTTTCAATTATTAAATTTATATGAGTTTTGTTTTGATTATTTTAATCTAATTGACCCCTAAATCTAATATTCATTTAAGAACCATCAACTAATGATTTAGATGATTAAAATGTAAAGTAAGAATAAATAAAAGTATGATTGAGGATTTGATAAAATTTGTAACTTTTCTAAATAATAAAAATGAATCCTTAAAGAAAATAAAGTTAGATAAATTAAAACTAATTTTATTATGATTTATTAGACTTTAGTGTTTAGGGGTTGAAATAATTTTGTACCAATGCATTATATATAATAATTTAATATATATTTTAGTATTAATTTTTTTTCCTTTAGTATGTTTATTGTGTTCCATGATATCATTGAGTACAATGAAATCTATCATACATGGCTTCCCTTACACAAACATAGTTTAACCTATAAATTTTTCATACTCTAATTACAATCAAATTATACAATGAAAATTGTTGGTATGATAATAACACAGTTCTTGTAAATACTCGTAGATTTAAGCTTGAGAATTTTATAACTAGTAATAATATTTTGGCAAAATTTGTGACAATAGAGGATATGGCGAGTAAGACCCTAAGTCAAGAATAAAATCAATTATTAATTGTATAACTTCTGACTTCAATATCTACCCAAATCCTAATAAAGATGATTGGTTTGAAAATCTCTTTTCATATCTGGAAGTATTTAGAGGTTAACTTTTCATCTTATACAAAAGCCATGATGAAGAAATTAAAGCTTTGATTGCGTACGATTAAAAAAGTAAAAAGGAATTAACAATTACCTGTTAGAAATCAAGAAAATTATTAATTCACCTACAGTAGTAAGAGTCGAAATTTCATAAGAAGACTACGTAGACATGATTCTAGATGGTTTTTCTTATGTTTTTCATAGTATAATGACTTTCATAGTCAAGAATTCAATTTATTTTAATTATAATATTTAGAAAAAAATAAGAAAATTGAGAAACTTATAAATAAGAAAAACTTATAAACTAATCTATTAAGGCTTTTGGTTAAGAATAATACCATATTCTCTTATATGGTTGACTCGAATTCTTGAGTAGTGGTGGATCTTTTTGGGAGTTGAGGGGAGACTCCAAAGTTTTGTAACTCTAATGTAATTTATGATTTTGATTCCCCTAAACTTAATGAACATTTAATATATTTACTAGTTTATTTACAATTTTATCCTCTCAGCCCTTCCTCAATTTTGTAACTCTCATATAATTTATGATTTTGTCCCTCTCAAACTTAATGATCATTTAATATATTTAAATATATATCTACAATTTTATCCTTTTACCCTTTCATCTTCTTTCTTTCTTTTATATTTATTTATTATTTATTAATAATATATTATTTGACCCCTTTAAGATAAATGGTCAAGGTCCGCCACTTGTCCTTGAAAATCTCTATATTATTACTCTATTGAAAATAACTACCATTCATCATGATGAGTGGTTAAAATATCATTACATTCGTGCATTACTTTAAGTTAATTTCATATTGGAAGAACTTCAACGACGGTTCCGTAACCGACGTTAGTATCAGAGCGACGTTGAAAGTCAGGACTTTCAACGTCGGTTCCAGTACCTTAGTGTTGGAGGCCGATACTCCAACCACTAAACTACTCGAATTTTTTGATAATAACTTACAAATAAATTATATTTATATACAAATAAATATATATCCAGTGTAAATATATAAATATATAAATACAAATATATTTATATATTTTGATATATTTATATAATTATATATTTATATGTTGGATGTGAGGAGCACGCTCGAAGGTGAAAGTGTGTCGAGTGAGTTTTCAAAATTTGATGTCAAATTTGTGAGCGAGTCTCTTTATATGAGTTTGTAATTTAATGACGGAATATAATATTTATAATTTATTAATGATATAAAATAAATATGAGAAACGCATCATTCGCTCAAGCGAAAAATACCAATTTTCGTTCAAGCGAGGCTTGAACGAGTGAATTTCCGTGAGTTTTAACGTATTTTCACTCAAGCGAGAGTCAATCTCACTTTCACCCTCGAACGCGCTTTCACATCCAACATATAAATATATAACTATATAACTATATAAATATATATAAATATATCAAAATATATAAATATATTTGTATTTATATATTCTATATTTATATATTTACACGAATATATATTTATATGTATATAAATATAATTTATTTGTAAATTATTATAAAAAAATTATAGTAGTTTAGTGGTTGAAGTATCAATTTTCAACTCTAAAATACTTGGGTTCAAAAAATCCTGTTAGTGACAATTCTCTAACTTAAGTAAATTTTTGGTGAAAAAAAATAAAAACACTTTCCAGAAAATATATATATTTACACGGATATATATTTATTTATATATAAATATAATTAATTTGTAAGTTATTATCGGAAAATTACAGTAGTTTAGTGGTTGAAGTATCAACTTTTAACTCTAAAATATTGGGTTCGAATCCTGTCAGTGACAATTCTCGAACTTAAGTAAATTTTTGGCTGAAAAAAAATAAAAACACTTTCCAGAAAATATATATAAATAAATATATATTTACACGGATATATATTTATTTGTATATAAATATAATTAATTTGTAAGTTATTATCGGAAAATTACGGTAGTTTAGTGGTTGGAGTATCAACTTTCAACTCTAAAATACTGGGTTCAAATCCTGTCAGTGACAATTCTTGAAATTAAGAGAATTTTTGGGTGAAAACACATTCAACGTCGGTTCATCTGGGAACCGACGTTGAATGTCTAAATTAAAAGACTTTCAACGTCGGTTCATCTGGGAACCGACGTGGAAAGTGCTTTCTACGTCGGTTGACTAAGAACCGACGTAGAATGTGTCCAACATTCCACTTTCAACGTCGTTTTTTAACCAACCGACGTTGAAAGTGTATTTAACGTCGGCTCAGCTTTAACCGACGTTAAATGACGACGTTGAAAGTATATTTTGTAGTAGTGTACCTTGTGAAATGTTCCATAACCTGTGGATTTGATACCAGAATGCAAAGATCAAGATCAGAAAGCTCCACAGGTTGATTGGGGATTTTTCCACAGTCTGTGAATTAGACTCCAAAAGATTGCACGAAGTCAGAGAGCTCCACAGGTGAGTTGTGGATGTTTCCACAACCTGTGGATTTGTGGTTCAGAAGGCACAGTTGAAGTCAGAGAGTTCCACAGGTGGGTTGTGGAATTCCACAACATGTGAAAATTCAAGACAGTTATGAGAAGTGGTAACTACCTCAACAAGTGGAGAAAAAACGTGGGACACCCTATAAAGAAGGTGGAACGAAACTGAAAAGAAAAACTGGACAACCATTATGGAATTTTTACGTTCTAGTTATTATCTTTTAGCAATTTTTACATGATGCAGAACTAATTTTCTTTTTTGTTAGAGGATTGATGTAGTACTCTGAATTATATTTTCTTGTTCTTGACAATTGATGTTTAGTTAATGTTCTTTATTTCAGTATTCTATTTATAATTTTCAAGTTCATTCCACGAGCAGTTTCACAATTGGGAGATTAGAGGTTGTTCGCGATCCTAAATATAACAGGTTAGGGTTTGTCACAATTGAGAAATTGGGCATATATCTAATTAGTTTGCAATAGAGAAGATTATTGTTTTTTCATTATTCTATTGAATGGCGTAACTGACCTAAGGGATTGGGGGTTCGGATTCAATGAATAGTTTTGCCTACTAAGGGATTAGGGGTAAAACAATTCTGAGTAAACTCTATTGGATAATTACATTTTTTACATCAATTGAAAGGACTGGAATTATATAGGAAAGGGTATGAAATCGATTCTCTAACATATCTTATTTTGACTAAAGTTCTTATTATAATTTTGTGTTTGTTTTATTTCCAAATTTTCAATTGCTCAAACTTACGTAAATTAAGAATCTAGTATTCAATAAATTCAATTCCAGAGGACGATATTTTATTACTACGTTAACGATTGGTGCACTTATCAAATGTTCATCACATCACATCTCAAATTGATTGATACATTATATATGAGATTGAGGCTCTTTTTTTTTCACAAGAGAAATTTGATGAGAGAAAATGGTAAATGATGTAAGTCGTATCCTTACCGTCCTTAATACCTATTCAATGAAAAACAATGACAACAATTTTGGTATAGGCAATAATAATTATCGAGTTATACATGATGATTCCACCTGTCAGTCATGACCTCTTACACTGGTTGAGACAACATTAATATTGGTAATGATACAAACTTAGATATATATACATCATGTTGGTCATGCATATTTGCATTGTCCTAAATTCTCGAAAACTATCTTTCTTAATAATCTTCTTCATGTTATTGTAAGGAAAAATACACAGAACTTTTCCATGTAGTCAAATCTCTGAAAGTAAAATAAAAACAAAATAAAGACAGAATAATTGGACACAACAATTGATAACGGAGTTCGGCCAAAATTGGCTACGTCTCCGGACTACTGCAGATATTTTACTGAGAGAAAAGAAAATACCCAGGTGTTTACAAAGTGTAACATCCTAATTCTCAGTACCTCTACAACTTTTGTCAAAAAATTTATTAATTAAATTATTAAGAATTGGGGAAAGTGACTATAGAGTTTTATGTTGGTTAGATTATTTGTGATTTTTAGAAATTTTCTGGAAAAAAAAATATAATAAAATA